AAAAGAGTTTATAAAAGGCCATATACTTCAGAGTGTTAGAACAAATAAGGAAAATACTAGTATAATTCACTCATCTTTTGCTATTTTCTTCAGATGGATTAGAAATGTCTCATCATTACAGGAATGAATACTGGCCAGATAATACAACACATTTACTAATAGAACAAGTGGTAAAATTAAGAAAGGAAAGGAAAGAAACTCTAAACAGCCAAAGACTCAACCAGTAGTCTACTGATCACAGACTCCTTGCCTTCCTTTTATAACATGATGTTACAGTCATCACAGAGTACCAGAAGGTTTAGTCTACATATATGTCACTAGCATATCAGGATTTCTCATATGATATTTAGAAAACATAACTGAGTTTTTTTTTACTAAAATGTTAACAACAAGTCTATCAATACCAAGAATATTACACCTCCTAATTTCCTAAACTACCATTTAAAGAATTTCTTGGCACAAGTAATTCAAAGCTATTGCAAAATTATTATTCATAAATCTACCATCAGGTACACATTCTATTCATCTAACTTCTACTGTCAAGCTAAATTATTAGTTTACTCTCAAAGATACTCATTTATTAATTAAACACTTGTTTGATTACATGTGAATAGTTTATAATTCCTGTACATAACCTCAGCACACTACAATGCTAATATTATTTTGATTAAAGAGATATCCTATTCATAAATTTCACATAAAAGCATTTTGAAAAGCCATACCTCCAGCATCTAAAATCCTTTCTCCCAAACTACTCCTGTGAAGAAAAGTAACATATCATACACAGGACGAGTACTGATTTAAAAAAAGCCCATATTAAAAAATACAAACCCCTAAAATTTACAACTGACTAGTAGCACTGACTTTTGCAGAAAATATATGCATATATTAAATCTTATTAAAATCCAACAGTAGCTATCACTTTAATTATTAATGCAAAAGCCTGGCCGCCTTCCTGCCTTATAATGCATTCCTTAAATTACTGACTTGAGCCACTACAAAAACAACATAGTATAATTACATGAGTATTAACATGTCTTGATTAGACAGCATTCTGCCGGCATTGTGAGGCATTCTATCAAGAACAGCATTCATTCTTTTTAGAATCTAGAAAAGAAAATAATTAATAATCCGTTAATTTTATATGCTCAATGAAACAATCTTTAGAGACACATTCTAGGTAGAAACTGCTCTTTTTCTTAAGCATTACAGTTTATGTAAGGAAGGCAATAAGACAGACAAAAGAATATAAACTATAAAATAGTGACTACAGAAAAAGTGTCATACAAAGGGTATCAAAAGTAGACCATGACACAACTCTTGTACTTAAAACATGTATAGCTTTTGCAGTGAGCCATGTTTATTATCACACTATTGTAAGAATTAGGGAAGTTACAGAAATCTTATTTGATTACGAATGTTAATTATGTTCTCAGGATGCTGCATGTGTACACACAATATGATCACACAATAAAAACGAAGGAATATGATCACACAATAAAAACGAAGGCTGTGTTTAGTATTTAGAGACTTGGGAACTCCTACCATGACGTTACATTTTCGTATGAGCTCTATGGATTCATAAAACCATATTGTTATGAATTTTCAATAAACATTTAAGAAATACATTCCTCATGTTGGTATTTTAAAGGCAATGAATTGTTAAAACAAGAGAAACACACAAGATAATTTAGTGCCAAGACACAGCAATCATTCCATTTGATGAACTTTTATCAAATTTTATCTCATTTTTAGGTTTTTTAAAAAAATTGAACAAGTGGCCTTACCTCCTGCTGGACAGAGATGCTCACTCTCGCGTCACTCACCAGGGCACAAATCTGAGGTACAACGCTTTCCATGACCTGTCTTTTACCTGAACAAAGGTGTTAAATTATTGACAGATAAGCACTCAGATCATTGACAGGCGCAATCATTCCTCCTGAGTTCATGGAGAGTGTGTACTGGGGCAACACACACAGGTCCCCCAGCCTGGACATCAGGAAGCCTGCGTGAACTGGCTTAGTGGCCCAGAACAAACACCGCTCAAGAGATGAGACTGACCTCAGTGCTGCCAAGGGAGCAGCCTGGGTGTAGCTTCTCATTTCAGTCACATAGGGAAGTGTTACTTTTTTAGATAAAGCAAATATAAAGAGTGAAACTTCCATCTTGAGGCTTTGAAGAAAACTGGCCTCATTAATTTACAGTTATTCCTCAGAAGTTCTCAGACTCCTGAGGACTATTAACGTGGCTTGACCTCATGAAGCTCTAAATGACTCATGTTATTTCTAAAAGTTAAATCCATTCCCCAAAGATCAGGCTTTATCAACATTAAAGGGAAATTTACAATGAGCTATTTCATAATTTTAGTAAACTTTCACCCAAATCACAATAAAAATTAAAAAATAATTTTAAACAATGCCAATACTCTTACCAGAAAACATACAACTTTCTAATGTGACTAAATTTGAATGGGGGTAGGGGCTCATTAGGTGAAAAGATATGATTTGCTTAAAAATGTAAGTAAAGTCAGTGGATCACTTTACAATTCCTAGAACTGTAGGGCACTTTTCTCTCCTAAAAACTTAGAAATTGAGATCCAGCATCTTGTTATGTTAACTGTTGAAATGGAGAAATAGAGAAAAAGGCAGCAATACCTATTTAAATAAACAGCAACTGACCTTTTTAAACCTGTTGGCGTTGAAGGAAGGAAATAGCTGCTGTCCCTTATTTATGAATACTTCACCAGCCTCAGGGGAAAACAAATGAAACACAACCCTTCCTTTCTCTAATGTTAGGCAATCTTCCTCAGCCAACACAAAGACAAAACAAGTGATTGCTTGGCACAGATGCTGGCTAGCCACAAGCGAACAGTTACAAAGCATTCCACATCCCCAGTAACTCATTATAGAACGTTTTGTTCTTCTAGGTAAATTATGGGCTGGCAAACTATGCCTGCAAGCCTAATTTCATCAACTACCTGATTCTGTTTGGCTGTATTATCCACCAAAGGCCTGAGTGGTGCAAAAGGTTAATGTGACAGGCAGCTAACTGAAAGTTTGGCAGTTTGTAAGAACAGTACCCTGGAAGAAAGATCTGGCAATCTACTTCAGAAAAATCAGGGAACTCTATGGAACACATTCTACTGTGACACACTTAGGGTTGTCATGAGGCAGAGTCCACTTGCCTGCAACTCTGTTTTAGTGTTTAAAATTATTCACCAGCAGGTACTCTAGGAAATACCTGAAACGATCATGTTCTATTGACCCAATAGGGTCACAAGGGAACTCTTTTCACACTCATGAACTGAGCCATGGTCAGGGATTGGGTGTCAGAAGTAGAAGCTCATCACCTTGAGTTGCACGATCACTCAGCAGCTTATGAGTGGTCAAGTTTTATTGTAATACTTTGAATCCTGGGCCAAGACTGAGATTTTTCTGGGCCAGAACAGTACATCAACCACTACTATCAAACACTGAAAGCCTCCAGAGAGTAACTTCTGCTGCAGACTTCATAAGTTTCTTAATAAATTCAACTCAAAATTTCAAATCAAAACAGTGCTTATATGAGAAACTTACACTGCAATAAAATCATTTTGATGACAACTAATGCTTTTATAATATCATAAGTAGTACCCAGCTGCTTGATATGCTTCTCAGGCTGTAAACAATTAAGTAAGAAGTGGTGTATCTCCATTCCCAGAGACATCTGCAGGGAATATATTTTCCAAGCCCCAACAACAGGTCCAGCAACACCGCTGGACCTTGATATAAATGCAAAGGAACTCCTAGGTTTCAAAATCCGTTTGACCATGCACTTGAGGCACTTCCACCTCAGCTTCAACGGAAACGGATCAATCTGCAATGTAACGACATTCTAAAAGGCAAGCACTAAGAAAATAATCCAATAAAATTCTATAAAAGCCTTCTAAGTGATAACTATACTCAATTAAAATTCATATTCTTATGAATTGATTGATTATCAATATTTGGCAGTTTCTTCATGGAAAGACATTTTCCAATATGAAATACATAAAATCTCGTCACAGATAAGCATTAAAAATAAACACTGGCCATTAATTTTCATAACAGGGAACACTAACTTTGAACCCCAATTAAGTAAAACATGCTATTCTTCTCGTTGTTGTTGTTTTGCCGTCGAGTCGGCCCCGACTCATAGCGACCCCTCCTTGGGTTTCTGAGGCAGTATCACTACAGAAGTAGGATTGCCCAACCTTCCTTCCGAGGAGTGGCTGGTGGGTTTGAACCGCCAGCCTTCTGGTGAGCAGTCAAGTGCCTTAGGCACTATGCTACCAGAGCTCCCATTCTTCTCATTAGTAGACTTATATTACAAGAGTATGGTAATCACTTCTTATTCTGTATTCTGAATTCAATCAGCAGAACAGCTGCAGACATTTGTTTTTTTCTTGTTACAAAAGTACCTGTCCAATGGCCTTCATTTTTTCTCTTGGGCCTTAAACCGTAAACTATTTACTTTCTGGCCCTTTACAGAAAAAGTCTGCTGATCCCTGAGTTAGATAATTAATTCCTAATATTAGCACAATACTATCAGATTTGCAAAATTATACTAAAACTCTAAAGTTTTGTTCTAATAAAAATATTGTACCTTCATCGTTGACATCAAGTATGATCTGAAAGAAAGTGAACAATGTTTAATTTATAATATACTATGCTGTATTATAAACCAGCACAAACAGTCAAGTACAGGCTGTATTTGACTCACCACCTAATTGCTTAACTTTTTTTTTGTTAAAAGACCATTTAATTACATCAATCAGGATTCATAACAATTTAATTGTGTCCCCAAAAATATGTGTTGTAAATCCTAACTTCAATGCCTGTGCTTATAAATCCCATTTGAGAATGAGTTGTCTTATGTTCATAAGACAGGATTAGCATAGGGTGTGTCCTGAGTCAATGTGTTTTGAGATAAAGTATAAAAGAAACTAAATGCAAGTTAGCAAGCAAAGATGGGGGAAGAGAGATACGAAGCCCCATGAAGAGTGCCCTGTAGCAGAAGCCCAGAGACACAAGGACCTTCCCCAAAGCCAACACAGAGAAAGTCTCCTCCTAGAACCAGTGCCCTGAATTTGGACTTTAGCCTCCTAAACTGGGAGAGAATAAATGGGTTTGTTAAAGTCACCCATCTGTGGTATTTCTGTACCTAGCACTAGAGAACTCAGACAAGGATAAGCGCTTAGCACAATCTGAATAGACTGCTGTTGTTGTTGTTAGGTGCCATGGAGTCACCTCCCACTCACAGCGAGCCTATGTGCAACAGAACGAAATACTGCCCAGTCCTGTGCCAGCCTCACCATCCTCACTATACCTGAGCCCACTGCTGCAGCCATTGTGTCAATCCATCTCGTTGAGAGCTTTTTCCCCTTTTTCATTGACCGTCCACTTTAAAAACACAGTATCCTTCTCCAGGAAATGATCCCTTCTGACAACATTACCAAAGTAGGTGAGAAGACAAAGTCTGGTCGTTCTCACTTCCAAGAAGCATTCCGGTTGTACCTCTTCCAGGACACATCTGTTAGTTCTTTAGCAGTCCACAGTACTCTCAGTATGCTTCACCAACATGCAACTCAAAACATCAGCTCTTCTCCGGTCTCCTTTGGTCTTCATTGTCCAGCTCTCACATTCACATGATGCGACTGAAAATGCCACGGCTTCAGCTAGGCACACTTTAGTCTTCAAGGACCCATCTTTCTCTTCAGCATCTAAAGAGGTCTTTTGCAGCAGATTTGCCCAATGCAATATGTCATCTGAAGTCTTGCCTGCTGCTTCCATGGGTGTTAATTATACAACCAAGTAATATGAAATCCCTGACAATTTCTATCTTTTCTTCATTTATCATGATGCTGCTTATTGGTCCAATTGTGAGGATTTTTGTTTTATGCTGACGTGTAATCCATAGTGCAGACTGTACTCTTTAATCTTCATCAGTAAGTGCTTCAAGTCATCTTCACTTAGAGCAAAGTTGTGTTGTCTGCATGTTGCAGGTTGTTAGTGTGCCTTCCTTCAATCCTGATGCCACGTTCTTCTTCATATAGAACAGCCTTTCAGATTATTTGCTCAGCATACAGATTGAAGAAGTATGGTTAGTTAAAAGTATACAACCTTGATGCACTCCCTTCTTGATTTTAAACTGTGCAGTATCCCCTTGTTCTGTTTGAATGACAGCCTCCTAGTCTATGTACAGGTTCCTTGTGAGCACAATTAAGTCTTCTAGAATTCCCATTCTTCTCAAAGTTATTTTAATTTGTTATGATCCACACAATCGAATGCTTTTGCATAGTCAATAAAACACAAGTAAACATCTTTCTAGTATTCTTTGCTTTAAGACAGGATCCATCTGACATCAGCAATGATATCCCTTGTTCACATCCTCCTCTGAATCCAGCTTGCATTTCTGAAGTTCTCTGTCAACTCCTGCAACCGTTTTTGAATTATCTTCAGCAAGGTTTTACTTGCGTGTGATATTAGTGATATTGTTCAATAATTTCCACGTTCTGTGGGATCACCTTTCTTTGGAATGGGTACAAATATGGATCTCTTCCAGTCAGTTGGTGAGGTAGCTGTCTTTTAAATCTCTCCACAAAGCCGAGTGAGTGCCTCCAGCGCGGCATCCATTTGTTGAAACATCTCTGAGTATTCTATCAATTCCTGTAGCCTTTTTTTCACCTACTCCTTCAGTGCAGCTTCAACTTCTTCCTTCTATACCACTGGTTCTTGATCACATGCCACCTCCTGAAATGGATGATCATCTACCAACTCTTTTTGGTAGAGTGACTGTGTATTCCTTCCATCTTCTTTTGATATTTCCTGCATCAGTCACTATATTGCCCATAGAATCTGTCAATATTGCAACTTGAAGCTTCAATTTTTTCTTCAGTTCTTTCAGCTTGAGAAATGCCAAGTGTGTTCTTTCCTTTTGGTTTTCTAACTCCAGGTCTTTGCACATTTCATTGTAATAAATGACTCTGTCTTGAGATGCTCTTTGAAATCTTCTTTTCAGCTCTTTGATCTTGTCATTTCTTCCATTTGCTTTAGCTACTCTCTGTTCAAGGGCATGTTTGAGTTTCTTCTGATCCATTTTGGTCTTTTCTTCCTTTCCTATCTTTTTAATGACCTTTTGCTTTCTTCATGGTTGATGTTCTTGATGAACAGACTACTCTAGCTAAATCACTAACCAATCTGTCAGTAATTTTTATGCTCAGGGCTTATCAAACCAAAAACCAAACTCACTGCCACTGAGTCAGATCTGACTCATAGCCACCCCTCCTTGGATTTCCAAAGCAGTATCACTACTGAAGTAGACTGATTGCCCAATCTTCCTTCCAAGGAGTGGCTGGTGGGTTTGAACCACCAGCCTTCTGATTAGCAGTCAAATGCCTTACGCACTATGCCACCAGAGCTCCTCAGGGCGTATAGAATAATTTTTTTTTTTTTTTTTAGAAAGCACACACACTTTACAACATAAATTAACCAAGGTGATTTTTACCATGAAAACATCAAAGAAGTCTTCTATTATACTTGTAACAGCTTCATCTTTGGAACTTCCTCGACTTAGAATCATCTCCTTAGATTTTTCAATCCAGGCAGCCATGTAAAGAAAGGAATGTACAGATTAGCTACTGCAATAATTTTCAGAACATGCTCCTCCATCCTTATAGAAGCAGCATACCTATGAATAAAGGGACATCAAAAACAGTGCATCAGAATCAGTTTAGCTTTTCAAACATCTTGTTTGTTGTTGTTGTTGTTCTAACTCACTGTATTTTCCCATGTTTCAGATGGGAGCAGATAAATTTAAAAGGAACCGAGGTAGCACAAAAGGTTAAGTGCTCAAACACTAAACAAAGGCTGGAGGTTTGAACCCCCCCCAGCATCTCCACTGGAGGAAGACCTGGTGATCTGCTCCCATAAAGAGCACAGCCAAGAAAGTCCTATGAGGCAGCTTTACTCTGTCACAGAGGGTCAGTACAAGTCAAAATGGACTCAATAGCATACAACAACAAGATGAATTTAATGTTAATTCCTGGTAGAAGACCTTACTCCTACAAGTTTCTAGTTCAAGTGTACTTCTTATAATGGATGAAAAAAAGTTATCATCACAATTCAGACTATTTTGTTATCTACACTTTAAAAAGTGTCAGTATTATGCTAATTAATTCAGATATAATGCAGTGATTAAGCACTTGGCTGTTAACCAAAAGGGTGGTGGTTAAACCCACCAGTGAGCTCTGTGGTAGAAAAATGAGGCGTTCTGCTACAGTAAAGATTTACAGCCTTGGGAAGTCTATGGGGTAGTGCTGACAGGGTCTCCATTAGTCAGAACTGACTTGAGGGCATTGATGAGGGGCACTATGTCACAGGTGCTGTTGTAGGCCCTGGGGATAGAGCAGTGCACAAAGCAGAGAAAGAGACTGCATAATATAAAAAGAAAAATACATCATGTTTGCAGTGATTAAGAGGAGCTAACAAGGAAATGAAGCAAGGAAGGCACTGTGGTGTCTTGTGACCTTAAATTCCCACGTTACATAGCACTTGTGCAGAGAGGTTCTTTGTAATCTTTATCTCTGTAACATGAACCCCAGGTTTTAAGAATATTTTATTCTCCAATTTTTTTTTGTTAGTCTCACAATTTACTAGAACATTCTCGTACAAAGTGTACTTTGAATATATGTAAATCTTTTGAAATTATGTATTTCAATGGGAGAAATTGTACATGATTTTCTCATTTACAGAATACATAGGGAACTTTCCCATCTTTATAACACAAAGATACCTTTTTTTTTTTCCTGAACATTTTATTTTGGTTTGGGTAAAAGTTTACAGATCAAATTAGTTTCCCATTATTCTCAAATTTTTATGTAAAGCTACCAAATGCATTTTTTAACAGCTGGAACTATTTTTTTTTTTTAATTACAAAACATGCCTTTTATTATTTGAATAAATGAATATGTTACATATTCTCTACTTATCTTTTGGACTAGTCCTTGTTTTATCATAGCTGGAAGTCCAGCTTGTCCCAATATTCTTGTATGTTTTCCACATCTTCCAATAGAAACCAAAATGGTTGAAACAGTCTGAATATCCTTCTTCTGAAGTTCCTGAATCAGAAAGCACACAATTAAACTTTGGCAAGCACAAAAGAGCACGGAATAGAATCACAGCACTGCTCATTTGCTGGGAGACAGGAATTGTGTGAAGTGCTTTCCACATGATCTGTAACCCTCACTGACCCTGAGGGCATCACCACCTTTGCATTGCCAAGGAAGAAAATGTGCCTCTACAAAAGCAGCTTGCCCACAGCCTCCCAGCCAGGAAGTGACAAACTCAGGACAGAGGCATAGACTGCGCAGAGACCAGCAACCTCAGACCATGATACACAGACTCCACATCATTCAGGATAACAAAACTCCACGTATTTAACAAAAAGATAAAAGAAATTTTCCTCAACCCTTTATAATAACAGATCTCAGGCACTAAAGGAGACTGTTAATAGTAACTGTTTGTCATGTATAAAAATGCTTCAGATATGATAAATGAAACCCCAGGTTTTGGGCATTTTGTTTGTTTGGTTTTGGAAACACTAAGCATTATCTATACAACAGCAACAATCTGCTGAAAGGCTTTTTGAAAACAGATCAAGCTTTTAACCTTCAGAGATAAATTATTTTTTCCCAGTGTAGGTAACATTTAGTAACAGTAAACCAAGATAAACACAGCATTCTGGATATTTTACTTGGGAAATGGCCCTCCAACATGCTACCTGAGACTCCTCATACAAAGCACAGTAAGCAGGTGGCCAGCTAAGCATTTATTTCTCTAATGCTCACCCAGCCTTGCTGCTCATCCTTCCCAATGAGTACTTCTTCCTACAAGTAGAGCACTAGCCAGCAATTTAAGCAACCGTTCACAAAACGAGTATTTACCCTGCACATGAGGTCATCCAACTTGTAGAGAAACTGTTTGCTGCATTTAATCTTCACATCTTCACAAATATCAATTCGTAGAAGTGTTTTTAAAGGTCTGAAATCATTTTTCCTTAGAGCATCATCAATGCATTTTTCCAACTGCTAGAGAAAGAAAGTTAATGGCACCTATATTTAATGAAATCCAAAATTAGTTTCTGTATGCAGTCTAGTAATCTGAGAATTGTTTTCACACAAAAATTCTCCTATCAATCCATTAACTTTAAAAACCCATCCCTTCTTCATTTTAGAATAACTATAACAGATTAAGTTTTTGACAAAAATGAGACTCAATTGGTAAAAAAAAATGTATTTTTTTCTTACTATTTTCAATTTATACTTTTTATTGCTAAAGTCTTCATTATGTTAAATTCACAAAAATTTGTTGATAAAGTAAAATCTACTTTACAGCAACTTATACCTGGTACCATTGTTAAAAGTCTAGCATATCTATCTATCAGCTTCTTCATGGAGTTTAAACAATAAAGACAAATGCATAAAGACAGGTATGCATGTAGGAAACAGATGAACAACTCTAACTTAAGTATATAATATCGCTAACCTCTACAAAATCTGGTATCTGTGCTGTAAAATACAACCTCATTAATAACGAATTTCTACACTATAAGCTTATAACTGAACAGACTGGTGGTGAATCGCATGTGTATTAAATAGCTATAACTTCCTTTTTATCAAAATGCAGGTATCTTACCATTTGAAAAACTTGTTATACAATATCCAGGTATAACTTATACGTGAATCAGTGCACAGTTCTTTGCAATGTAAAAGGCTGAAAGAACAAGCATCTTTAACGATTTATATATGTTCTTAGTATCTTCTTCTGAAAACATGTATTGAATAAAGGAAAGAACAACACTTTTGTTTAGATGCTATACTCTTGACCTTTAGATAAAATCATGTACATTTGGCCACTGCTAAAAATACAGTAATAAATACCTATAAATAAACAACAAAAATAAAGTGATTTTAGAAATTAAACTAAAATATGTCCTTGGTCTAGGATTACATTACCTGGAGATCTGGTCTTATTGGCATTTTGACTTCATTTGAAAACAGGAAAATAAAACAAACACCTAAAAAAGAAAGCATATTTTGTATATTTTAAAATATGTTCCATATTTTTATAGTTTAAAAATCTTAACCTAAGTATTATATTGTTGCTTTTGCCAAAGGCAATACAAAAGACAAATACTGTTTCTTCAAGGTCCTTATACCTGTTTTCACACCTGTTTATAAAACTACTCATTTCAATCTGGCCAAAGATATTTCTAAAGAAAACGTTGTTGTTGTTATGTGCTATAGAGTCAGACCTAACTCATAGCAACCCCTCCTTGGGTTTCCGAGGCGGTATCACTACAGAAGTAGATTGCACATTTCATTATAGTAATTGGCTTTGTCTTCTCAAGTTGCTCTTTGAGATCTTCTGTTCAGCTCTTTACTCTTATCATTTCTTCCATTTGCTTTAGCTACTCTCTACTCAAGGGCAAGTTTCAGAGTCTCTTCTGACATCCACTTTGGTCTTTTCTTCATTTCCTATCTTTTTAATGAGACAGGATTTGCTTTCTTCATGGATGATATTCTTCATGTCATCCCACAATTCATCCGGTTTTTGGTCACTGGTGTTCAATGCATCAAATCTTTTCTTTAGATGGTCTCTAAATTCAGAAGGGATATATTCAAAGTCATATTTTGGCTCTCGTGGACTTGTTTTAATTGTCATCTTCAGCTTGAACTTGCATATGAGCAGTTGATGTTCTGTTCCACAATCAGCTCCTGGCCTTGTTTTGGCTGAATATATTGAGTTTTTCCACTGTTCCTACCACAGATGTAGTCACTCTGACTCCTGTGTACCCCATGTGGTGAAGTCCATGTGTACAGCCACCATTTATGTTGTTGAAAAAAGGTATTTGCAATAAATAAGCCATTGGTCTTGCAATACTCTATCATGCCAAATTTTCCAACTACCAGTGATTCTTCATTTCCAACTTTTGCATTCCAATCACCAGTGATGATCTGCACATCTTGATTGCACGTTTGATCAATTTCAGACTATAGAAGTTGGTAAAAATCTTCAACTTCCTCATCTTTGGCTTTGGCGGTTGGTGCATAAATTTGAATAATGATAGTACTAACTGGCCTTCCTTGTAGGCATATAGATACTATCCTATCACTGACAGCATGGTACTTCATCTTGAAAAACATTCTTTGTGATGATAAATGCCACGCCACTCCTCTTCAACTTGTCATTCCAAGCATAGTAGATCATATGGTTATCTGATTCAAAATGGCCAAAACTGGTCCATTTCAGCTCACTAATGCCTAAGTTATCAATATGTGTTCCATTTCATTTTTGACAACTTCCAATTTTCCTAGATTCATACTTTGTACATCCGTGTTCTGGTTATTAATGGACATTTGCAGCTGTTTTCTTCTGAGCTGTGCCACGTCAGCAAATGGAGGCCCCAAAACCTCTACTTTATCCATATCATTAAGGTCAGTTCTACTATTATGAGGCAGCTCTTTCCCAGTAATATCTTGAGCCTTCTGACCTGAGGGGCTCATCTTCTGGCATTGTATCGGACAATGTCTCAGGGCTATTCATAAGGTTGTCCAGTAATACATCAGACAGTGTTTCACTGCTATTTATAAGGTTTTCCCTGGCCAATTCTTTGAGAAGTGGATGGCCTCTTCCTTCTTCTGAGTCTGTCTCAGTCCGCTTAAATCCATCTACCATGGGAAACCCTGCTTATGTTTGAAACACCAGTGGCACAGCCTCCAGCCTCACAACAACATACAAGCCACCAGAGTGCGACAAACTGATAGACAAGTTCGTCTCCTTTAGCTGTTCCAAACCCCTCTGCTCACTTTCCCCCTACCTAAATCCGGCCAGTTTCTCTTGTAATAGATTACTTAAGTCAATGCCAAACGTCTTGCTAAAAGGTACACAGTCAGAAAGTGAAAGAACACAAGACTTGACCAACTCTTCTCCCTCACCAATGAGTCCTGCTACATGTGTTCCACCTTTGGGAACAAGCAGCAAAATAATCTTAATGCCTAAGTGAAATTCAGGCTAGTAATAAAATAAGAAGGGAAGGATATGCAAACACATTCCCAAAGACCAGGATCCACCAAAGCAAGCTGACAGACAGTGAAAGGAGTGAGGAAAACTTAACCTGAGCACATTTCTTTCAGAGAATGGAAACAGGAAACAATAGGGTTACACTAAACTTATACTAGCTTAACCAAAACATCCAACACGTCCAAATGCAAATGTAGAGGCTAATCCTAGAAAGGAATAGAAATAGCACCATCATTTTCAGACATCATGACTAGAAAAATTAAGAGAGCCTATTCTATGAAGAACTTTATAAAAGGACAACAAGAATGTCCAACACAGGCAATTAATTAATCACTCAATCAATCCATCCATCAAAGGGGAATATAGGGCAATGTAACTGAAAGAAAACAAGAGGCCTTACTGTCTACTTCCTTGTAGACACACCAGGAGGGAGACTGAAGGACCAACGAAAGTATACACAAGAAGATGTACCAAAGGCATGAGGAAAAACAAGTAGAAATTTCTGTCATCCCTATGTGTGATTTAAAATTAACTCTACAGTGGAGAATGGAAAAAAAAAAAAAAAAGATCCCTAGAGCTCTGGTAGCATAGTGGCTAAGACACCTGCCTGCTAACCAGACGGCTGGCGGTTCAAACCC